GTAAGAAGAGATCCTCAAAATCTTTTCATTTTTCATATAAAATTATAGTGGTCATTTTGTTTTGCACTGTTGTTAAAATTAAAACAAAGATGGAAATACTGAGTTTCTACATATCCTCTGATAAATAACCATCCACAATATTACAGTACTGATTAACTTCTTCTGGTAAGACCATTCCATTTAGTGGAAGTTACATGTATGCACTTTGCTCACCTCAATTCTAAAAAGAGGCATTCTAACACACAATAAATTAAATATATCCTGGTGCAAACAGATTGTAGATGGACCTTGGCAAAAAATTCATACTGGTGTTCACACTAATTTCATGTAAACAAATCAAGAACAGTTAAACATTTTTTGAGAGAAGCACAAGCAGGACGTGGTGTCAACTTTATACAGTTACACCACAACAGCTTTTCAGCCTAGCCGTCCTTGGCCCCTCCTTGCCTCTTGGGAAGGGTGTGGGTCCACTGCATTAATAAAACCAGGTTTCAAGATAACTTCTCAAGCCAACACTACCTTCTCCAAAGAAACCATAACCAGGACAGGTCCAAGGACAACCATTTGTAAGGATGACAACAAACAATGTTCTATATATTCTTGTCACTGCCTACAGCAATACTGTGAATTTCATCCTAAAGTTTTCAGCAGTGTGCACATAGTTTCTACCACACAGTTGATATTTATGGTAATTTCTAACTACTGTGTGAAGGTGGTATCAAAATGGAAATAATCTCAAGTCTAAAAAAAAAGCAACAACCAAAACCAAAAGAAAGGTCAATAAATTCTCAAACTGAGAATCATCATTATATTATGCTAAACATTAATGGTCTTCAAGGTCAATGTTTTCCCTGGCCCTTACAATAATAATATGAGCTATACAAAACTAAATGGATGAAATGGACATAAACCCATAATACATTGAAGTACATCAATAAAGAAGAAAAAGAACATAGTAATTGTTTTAAAAGGCTTCTGCTTCTAACATTGCTTATTCACTGCCCTCTGAGTGCCTGTTAAAATCAGGGAGCAGGTCATTCACCAGAAAAAGCAATTATAAAATGCAAATGACTGAGCATTTATTGTCAAGATTGGCTAGATAAAACAGGTCTGCTTCATAACATGTTTCCAAGCAGACGGCATAATTAGATGTTTATATTATAAACAATAGGAAATAATACAAGCCTTTAGCATTTTTTAGAAAGGCTGCAATTAAAAAAAAAAAAAGGTGAGCATTGTGACATAAATTCTATTAAAAAGTAACAATGAAATTTCCCTCTGAGAAATTAGAAGGCACCATCTTGTGGTTACTCTGCAAGAATGCAGTCAGGACAGCCTCTGGCCTCCCATCTCCTCCTACCCTTTTCCCAGTGTGTCAACTGGAACGTCAAAATTCTGCCATAGACAAGGTCAATGTCTGTCATTCCCAATACTCTCTCTGAAAAAAATGAGTGAGACTATATCTTAGGTAGGACTAGAGGAGTTATTTAGCTCAAAATACACTCCAGGTTATTACATTACTCAAATGTGTGTTTGAGGTAGACAGCAAATTCAGAATTATTGGCTATTGTAACACATTCACACTTAATTTTTGATAAGTTCAAGACCAAATATTACCATAACTAAAGTCTCTGAAGCCCAGTAAACCTGCATGAATTTTTGAGACAGCTAAGATCAGAGATTTCTATTCCTGTTATCCTTACATTACCAAACTCAAAATATGGTTTGTACATTTTGCAGAAGGTGTTTGAAATTTTTGCAAACAATTTATTTTGGGCAGTAGTCAACCAGTTAAGTGTGTGCCATCTTCAAAGACACAGTTAGTCTCATACCCAGGTCACAGGTCAGTACTCAGAATTTCTTGTTAAATAGAATCTGTAGTTGTAAATAAAACACTGCTGATGATGTCTGCTTTGGGTCCAGTCCTGCTAACTGCTCATTCATTGTACCTTGTGAGATAAACTATCTATACTGATCTTTCTCAACTCAGTTGTGTAGCTGAGTGGTGAACTATTTACCATGGAAAGTGCAATCATTCTTGTCTTCCTTGGAAAATGTATGCAAAATATAAACCAGTATCAATTTAGTTACTGTTTTATTGGTCTTATAATCAATTATAAATAAATAACTATTTTAAAGAGAGGCTAGTGTAACTGATGTTTAGGTTATGATTTGATCATGTAACTCCAGAAATACTTTGTTGGTGTTATTGTTTCAATACACTCTAAGATTTAAGCTAGTATTTTTTTATTACAGGAAGTCTATGATCAGATCTCCCCTAGTAAAATAAACAGCTAAGGTACACTGACACGTGTCTCATTTCACATTTTTTTAAGTACTTAACAGTTCAAAATTAATAAAAAGTACATCTGCTATTTTTACACAAGCAGACCCAGTTCTGACCTGTTTATGGCTCAATGAGTATTGAATGGCTATAAATGACAACAGAATTGAATCCACATAGTCTTCACATCCATCATATCTGGATCTTCTAGAAAATACTTTGTAAATTAGGACATTCATTTTTCTAATAAGCTATCCATAGCAAGTGTCAGTGACTGACAGTCTCACTGTGATAACATTGAGGCTTATCTCTGCTTTCACTCCTCCAATTGGGTTCACACCACCCAATGTCTCTGGTTACGTATGCACTCCAGGAGCAGGGTGACATAAAAATGCTAAAACAACATATCTTATCTATTTAAATCTGCACTGCCTACCCGCTATAAGTGCAACTATATGTTTTGTATACATTAAAAAGAAGACATATATTAATATACCAATTTATATCACAGGATACTCTATATATTCAGCAGCTGAAGTTACCCGATTTCTTTTGTTTCCTTGTTTGTTAATATGGCCTTTGATCTTCCCTGTATCCAAATGTTGATAAGCATTATACAAACGCCAGAACGATACTCTGATTCTAAAGAGATGAAACTATAAATGTTACCAAAAATAGATGCCTCCTCTCTTCCTGTGGCTTAGCCAAGGCAGTGTTATGCACATAGTTTACTCATCCCAGCAGAGGAGATGTAGAGACTGAGGACAGATGACAGTACTGCTTATCTCCCCTTTGACTGCTGCTACTCCCTCCCACAGGCAAAGGGGATCTGCTTCTTTTGGAGAGGATGGAAGAAAACCTTTGCTGAAGGTCTATGAGTGCTGACCTCATTTTCCTGTTAATTTAATTCCATAAGTAAAGTTCTATGGAAATTTTACTGATCTCCTGGCGTCAGAGTACGTGGATATGGTGGGGAGAGGAGGGAAAAGAAGAGATTGGCAGCAAGGAGGAAAGAGAATAGAGAGACCCGACTCTTTCAACTGCTTCAGGTTCATTCCTAACTTTTTTAAGTATCTCAATACTTGATGATGTGATGAGACCTTTCTGGTACAAGTACTGTTAAAAGGTTAGATACTTCCAGTCATTGCCATCTCTCTACATCATTAACAAACACAAATAGAAAAGAAACTAACCCAAAAAACCACAAAACCACAAAACCATAGAGCTTAGAGAAACAAGTCCTTAATTAAGAAGTTTCTCATTGCTTCCTCACACAACTTCCAACATGCTGTTATTGTCACATAAGATATGCATTCACACCCTGCAAAACACTTAAATCATTACAAGTTTATTATCAAAACAGTCCTATTTCTCTAAGCAAGTATTTGTTAAAAATCCAGAAATTTAAACCAAATTATACTGATGTCCATGTGAAAACCATATCAACCTTAGGAGTGGATAAAAATGATTGAGACTTACAAGGGCTACTTAAGTAACTGGTATCTTTTTCCTCACAAATTAATTTCAGAAACATAACATTCCAATAGTATGTTAACAGAAAGGAATCAGTCTGTAGTATCATAAAGAAGAGGATCCAAATGGTCCTTTAACAATTTAATAAAATGTACCCATGTTCAAATTGCATTTAGGACCTTGTGACCTCACACTGCCTTTGTGTATGTTAGAAAAAAAACCCACGCATTTAACAATATATTTATAACAGGACACTTACATACCAAAAGGTTGCCTCAAAAGAAGTGTAAACAAATTTTAAATTTTTGGAGTAATAATTAGAGTTACAAAAATTCACCAGTAGCATCTGGAAAAAAAGGAATATAAATATAGCTGTTGGATTTACTACTGATTTCATTAAGTTAAATTACTAAATAGAAATATAGAAATGGCCATAGGTCATACACTTCTCAAAAGGAGAAGAAAAAAAGAAAAAGACCTAGTAAAATACAACAGTTTCTCAATTTTAAAAATTCAGAATATGTCATAGCAATAATATATATAGTTTGAGTTTAGGTTTAACCATGGGCACATATATACAGATTTATTTATATATTATGAAAAAACCCCATAATTTCAACTAAGAATTTCAGAAACTATTACTAGTGTTGGCACAATTACAGCATTGTGGTTGTACAAATTGCAAGTACAGAACAAATTAACACTATAATTTTCAAAATTGAGTTAGTTTGAAATTAGAGGACATCATATCAGTAGTAAATCCACCAAAAAAAAATCATGCTGACATAATCTTTCCCAGATGCTACCAGGACAACTTTGCAAGTATAAACTTCTGTAAAGAACATTTCTGTAGAGACATTTTAAGATTTTGACTTTGAGCTACAGACAGATTGTCTTTTGAAAATTATCTGTAGAAGATTTATTTGTTTCCCATTAAAGATTCGGATTTCTTCTTCATCCATAAAATTAACTGCAGTGAACTTCCAGGAGTAAAAAGCTGTCTTTTTTCAGGCTTGAATAAGAGGAGAAATAGTCACTTGTGCTGAAATCTGGCTACAATTAAACACATTGAAGACAAATTAAAAGATGTAAAACTTTGGGTTCTTTGCTGTGATCCTTTGTTATACAAGTACTGTAATATACAATAAACAATCAGTATGTATCACATTTTGCGACAAAATGATTAAGGTATTATTTAAATAGACCATAAATATAAAATAGTATAGGAAAAGACAATATTTACCTTCTCCAACTGGGCATTTTTTTTTGATTTGTACAAAAACTCCCCCACTGCCACAAAGACAGAAAGCACCAATCCTGCTGCCAGCACGATGAAGATTCCTCCAATATTTTGAACTCCCAAAGCACTGGCCTCTTTACTTTCCTCCTCTGGGCAGCCATTGCCTCTCCACCATTTCTCTTTCATCATGTGGAGTTTGCCCTCCTCTTGCAGCTGAAGAATTGCTATAGTGATCTTGTCTCTATATGGAGAACCTAAAGAGACCACAGGGAACATATTGCATGGAGTATATTTTAAGATAGTTATTTCTGATGATAATAAAATTTAATATAATGTCACAGAAAAACTATTTCCTCTACAACCACAACATTTATCAGAAAGCCATTTACATTTCACCATGGTCACACTGGTCACATAAATACAAACCCACATGCACACACATATACAGATATATCTATGTGCAAAACTTGATCCAGCTGGTGCTGCCTGTAAGCCAGGCAACTTAATGCAACAAGTCCTATCACACTTGATCCCACAGTCTAAAACATCTTCATGCCCAACTATTATATCCAGTCAAATAGTATTCATCTTTCAATTCCATCAGGCTTTTAATTATATTGCAGTAGATTTAGTCTAATATACATAAATATAGGCTATTGCTTCATAGCTTGTTACCCTAAAGCTAATCCAAGGTCTGCTATGCCACACTTTGTATTATTACCTTATCAAAAGAACAAACAAAAATTTATACTTCAGGACCAAGCCACAAAAGTCTCTATTTGATAGATTGTCAGGCACGTAAGATACCTTCCAGGCACGTATTTACTTATTAATGGTACGAGTTGAGGGTGTGAAGCACCGGAACAGGTCACCCAGGGAAGTTGTGGATGCCCCATCCCTGGAAGTGTTCAAGGCCAGTCTGGATGGGGCTTTGAGCAACTGTTCTAGTGGAGGTGTCCCCGCCCATGGCAGGGAAGGGTGGAACTCAATGACCTCTAAGGTCCCTTCTGACTCTAACAATTCTGTGATTCTGTGAGGTAGTAATGCATCCAGAAAGATAAGGTTAATTGTGCTTGGATAACAAGGATGTAAATTTTCATAGATTAATGTATTTCTTTCTCATAAGTCAATATTTTAAAATGATGTGATAATTTTGCAGCTTTTGAACATTGCAATATTTCAAGATGCAGTTCAAAAGGTAGTATCATATCTTTGTATGTCATCTGCTTTCTTTTTCTTTATATAGTGCATAAGGACATTTCTATGGGTATTTTAAAATTTACGTTAATTAATGAATAATGCCAATTGAGAAAGCTGTTCATTTTTAAATGTTAGAGAGTAAATCACATCAGTTAGAAGTGTTTTCTGTGTTGAGATTTGTGTAATGTTTAAGGAGAGAACAAAACCATCATTTTTCTCCTCCTCCTTCTGAAACAGGAACAAAAGACTCTTCATTAAAGTGGTTAAGAAATCCCAGGAAAAAAAAAAGAATATATGAAAAGGCATGGCATCCCCTCTTTCATGTGATATGAATACAATTCTACAAAGAATCCCTCTTTTTCTTTTTGTCATAATAATGCTACTTACTAGCTATAATTTTCACAGTGTTTCCTTTGGCTGAGTAATAAAATGCATTTTCATTAACTTGTTTCCTTTTAAAAAAAAATGCTCAGCATTCTTTAGAGAGATGTTGCCCATTTGACTATTTCATAGAATCATAGAACAGCTTAGGTTGGAAGGGACCTTAAAGATCATTTAGTTTCAACCCCCCTGACATATACTGTGATTAATTGTGAAGGAGCTGAAGGAATATATGGGTAGGATATTTCATACTCTTTATACTCTTGGAAAACATATATTTTCTTTTGGAATTTGTTTCAATTTATTATTTCTTCCATTTCTTCTTACATATCTAGACCTTATCATGTGAATAAAGCCAATAACAAAGTGTTGCCCTGCCAACATGGAAGTAAAACGTAGAAAGCATCATTAATTACATAACACGCTGGGCTTTTCCTTTACTCCAGAATAAAAGGTGGGAAAAGCTGGCCTCCAGGTATTTAAATTGCAAGAACTTGTGCTCTTGCTCTATGCTTAGAAAAGAATGATGTTTTGCACTAGGAACTAAACAGTGTTTACACAGGACTATATGAGAATCAGAAAGAAAGGAAAACAAACTCTTTTCTACTTTCTTGTGCATGCAGGAGCCTAGGCCACACCATTTCAGACCATCCTGATTATGCCGAAACTCTGCAAAATGCTGTACTTGACACATTTCTTCAGCCAGGTGGAAGAAGGAAAGTGATTAGCCCACAAGAGCCTGGGGAAGTGTAAGTGCATACTATAATATTTTGGGGATATTTTCAGCGTTACACTGCTTATAAATATTTAACAACAACAACTTAAATAACACCAGATTTTGAGAAATAATTTTGGGCCCAATTTAAGCCATCTTCTGATCTGACAGGCTGCTTTCTAATTAAACTGATTTGCATTTCATTTCCACACTTTCTGTTGGTCTAAATATAGGCAGTACCAACTATTCTTCATGTATTATTTATATATTCCAGGGACCAGATTTGTACACATACAGTTCTAGTCCATTTGAAGTGCTTAAAAATGGATTACCAGAGCAATTCATAGATAAAGCCATAAAGCACAGGCTAATAGTGTCTACAATTAGTTAAGTTTTTGAGGATAGCATTAGAAACATGCAGTTGATAGTGATTCAGTTCAACAGTATCACTTACTTATGGTGATTTGCAAAACTTTGCACAAATAGTTGTGGAGTGGACAGATTACAGGCCTTTGGTGTTCCTACTGCAATATTTGTATTTGTATACCTTATTATCATATCTTAAAAACAGTAATCTTACAAGTAAGGATCAATACTTTTTTACTGCAATATCTGTGTTTAATATATCTTATTAGCTTGTTTTTAAAATGGTAATCTCACAACTAAGGATCAATGTAGAATGACCAGCATTGCATACTGCTGCTACTAAATTAAACATTTAAAATTATACCCATGAAAAACCTACCATTCAATGTTGTAGTTCTGTTTCTGAATGACTTACAATGATCTAAATTCACATTTTGCAACAAACAATGAGTACACCTAATAATCTGATATTTGAAAAGTGTTGTTCATACTGACTCAAGTAGTTACTAAGAGAACAAAAGAAGCATAGCAATAATATTGTTTTCTAAGGTTTTATTTGTTCTTAGATTATATTTTTTTTCTAAGATGGATCTCAAGTCCCAGCAATGGAAAATCCACTCAGAAGTACGTAAGTGGCTAAAAGTATCATGGTCTGATCTGTAATTAATTACTGAAATTTTTGTGTAAGATATAAAAAAAATATCAGTAGACCTTTGGAGCTGTCAGAAATCCTACAAAATGTCACATTGTATTTATAGGTGATGGTAAGAAGCTTCAGCTGCTACTGTTCTATTAAATGATGTTCCATATATTTCTGATGCCTCTGATAGAAAAGAGAAGCTTGCCATTGGAGGTTTTCCACGCAGATTTCTATTCCCCAATTTGATTTCCAAAGCTAAACTGATTACAGAGGCAAGGCAGTCAGTTCTTGGTTGATCTTTGGGAAAAGGAGGCATCAGCTAACTGTGCATCATATATACAGTGAGAATAAAAAGTCTCAACTATTCAAAGAGTGTTTAAAAGCATTGGCTTTCAGTGTTTCACTCACTGTGCTGTTTGGCTATAAGGCACCATGGTGATTTATTAGGATTCAAAGCCGTGGTGCTAGTCTTTTCATTTATCCTTGCCAACTTACAGAATTCTGTCCTCAATGGTGAGGCTGGATGAGATAGTGTAAATTCAGATTTATGAAGAGCTTTCAGAATTTTGAATTTCTTTTCCATTACAAGGGAACTTTTTGGGTGCAGAAAATGAAATTAGGTAGGCTCAAACCAAAAGACACCTGAGAGCTTCTATTTGCCCCTTTTGGATCCAAATTCAAGTCACTGTTCAAAAAGAAGTGTCTTGATTCTGTAGTTAAAAAGTCTGAAGCTCTTTCATCACAAAACTGTTGCATTTCAGTGCTATGAAAGGCAGAATTTTGAAAGTGTCCTCCAGAGATGGTCTAGTCCACCCTACCTGCTCAAGCTACAGCATTTTACCCAGGGCACATTGTTCAGCTGCCTTCTGTCTGTCTCCAAGGATGGAGACAGACAACATCTTTGGGCAACCTGTCATAGTGTTTGATCACCCTTACTATGAAGAAGGGGGTTTTTGTGTGTGTTTTTCCCTCTCACATTTAAATGGAATTTATTTCATTTCAGTTTGTGCCCGACATCTCTTTTCCAGTAGTGAAAAAAGTTTGACTCTCTCTTCATTAATTTTCCCTCATCAGGTACTTATACACATTGATCAGTTCCCCCCTGAGCCTACTTTTCTTCAGGCTGAATAGTTCTAGCTCTGTCAGCCTGTCCTGTAACCTTCAGAAAGGCTGTGGTCAGTATGCTTTCAGTTACTATACATCCCTCAGAAGAACTTTAAATATTGTAGTTAAATTATAGAACACTGGATTATTCCATGAGCCTGCAAAATGAGATTCCACTTCTAACCGGCATTGAAAAGGGAATAATTAGCTGAAAATGCAAGACAGAAAAAATAAATAGCTGATGCTGCAGCTTTTCCAGATATGAATGCCAAAACCCATGCAAATACCATGTGCTGGGATGCAAAACACTAGTTTGGTTCTGATTAAGGGCAAAATATCAGGACAGAGACAATTTACATTTGTAGATGAGTCTTTGACAATGCAATATACACATATGGTGCTAGGCACTATAAGATCAACATTGAAATTTTAATAATGCCTTTGCTTCAGTTAGATCTGTTCAGTAAATTCCTACTAGAAACTGCTTCTCTAAGGTGAAATCTGTTTACAACAGCTACTGGACATTAAGTGCTTTGGCAATTCTTTATTGATATGAAGCTCAGTCTCTTAGCATGCCTTCGAGTGCTTCAATGTGCTCATCCTTCTGAGGTAGCTATAAAATACTGTTCTCTCATCAAATATTTTAGCTACACATTCTAACATTTCAGCAACAATAAATTAACTGCTCAAGCAGTTGAAATTCTCAAATTAGTTTCAATACATGGTTTGACCTGCATAAAAATAAATAATTTCCACCTATTTTTTGTGCATTATATTCAACTAATGAAGACAAATGTATTAATTTGTTTTAGTTACAGAAAAACTGAAGCTCAGCACCTTTATGCATG